TTTGAGAAAAAAACTCAGTATTTTGTTTATGACAGGATGTATGGCAACAAGAACCGGTATTCTTTGCTCTGTATGTGATGACTACTTCCAGTCTGGAGAGGATCACAGATACATGGATCCTGAGATTGAAGATCAAGCCGGGGACCAGGGATTATTTTCTAAAATGTATCAAGACGGCAACAACAGCATGGAAATGACAAGGATACAGGGTTACTGTGTAGATCCCTCAGCCATCAGGCAGACTCTCTTTAAGGGGAGAGTGAAGACTTTTTGGATAAGCTCAGAGATGGCAAAAGTACACACATCCTTTACTCAAATAGAAGTACACACATCCTTTACTCAAGTAGAAGTACACACATCCTTTACTCAAGTAGAAGTACACACATCCTTTACTCAAGTAGAAGTACACACATCCTTTTCTCAAGTAGAAGTACAGACATCCTTTTCTCAAGTAGAAGTACACACATCCTTTACTCAAGTAGAAGTACACACATCCTTTTCTCAAGTAGAAGTACACACATCCTTTTCTCAAGTAGAAGTACACACATCCTTTTCTCAAGTAGAAGTACAGATACTCGTGTTTAAAATACTCTGGTGAAAGTAGAAGTACTGACTAAACTTCTTTCCTCAAGTAAAAGTAAAGAGGCTTTGAAATGTACCTTTTAGCTGTACACACTGTAAAGTTGATATGGGAGCTGTGATCTGGTACCTGAGTGAACTGAAGGATCTGGTGTTTCGGAGCGGGGAGATGAGAGGAGGACATCTTCGGAGCAGAGCCATGTGACGCAGACACACCCTCAACTACAGAGACAGAAACACAGCATGAGAACCACGTCTGCAGCAACATGAGCTACAGACAAACCAAACCCTGGAGCTTTGGCTTGAGCAAACCTTTCTTTGTGTGTGCTATCATTTGTTCTATGTCCTGTGTTCACGTGGCACTGTTGGAGGAGACTTACGTTAACCGTTCTACACTGTAGCTTCTGCGCACATGACCATAAAGCCTTGGATCTGGATCTTGAATCTTGGCCAAGGTGCGGTAAAAACCGGTTGGTTTTCAGTAATTTATTTGGAGCTCAGAAGGGTTCACAGATTTTAACCAACATGTTTTCCGTCATTGAAAGAGATTCTCATGAAACGCTGAATTGTTCATATTGAGTCACGTGCCTGTTTGCAATTACTTGAATGTTATTTGGTGCTGCTTTGATGCTTGTGTATCCCTAAGGCTTGTGTGGGTTTCCCCTCTCCTGTAGTGTGATATATTGGGTTTGTTGGTGCATGTTAATGGTTTGAAAAGACTCAAATCCCTGTGTGACACTTTCTAAGTTGTAAAGCACAGGGTTAGGCTTATTGTTGACTGACAAACAATCCAAACATGCATTAATACTCAGTATGAAATGATGATATGAACTGAGACAAAGGAGCAACATTGGCAGGATTGAGAAGCAGGAATTCAGGCAACATTTTTACTGATTTTCTTTTATCCAAGGGATATTGATTCCGTTAACTTTTCAGTGCCATTTTCTTTTAAACCCCGGTCCTTTGGCCTTGTTGGACATGGCCAACATTGATAATGGAGCTGCACTAAGTACACAAGCAATCGATTAGTCCATCAAAAGAAATGCCAAATATTTTAAAAATGCACTTAATCACAGGATTTCAATGCAGAAAAAGGCTCGATGTTGTGCTTTACTGTTTCGTATCATGTTCAACTGAATATATTTGGGGGTTTTGACCGACAATACAAGACATTTGAAAACATTAGCTAGGACTAAGAACCAGGGATGGATAAAAAACACTATTTTCTGACATTTGATGGAACATATGCTTGATAAAAACGTAAGTGGAAAAAGCCAGACAAATACTGATCATTCTGAGAAGCCAAATGTTACAAGAACTGACTCGTGTGTGTGTGTGTGTGTGTGTGTGTGTGTGTGTGTGTGTGTGTGTGTGTGTGTGTGTGTGTGTGTGTGTGTGTGTGTGTGTGTGTGTGTGTGTGTGTGTAAGGAGGTCTGGATCAAGGCCCTTTTGAACAGTCCTGGTACTGTTTGTTTTTGTTTGTCTGCCTCTGAGGGACAGAATGTCTCCAGTGCTGACGACTGGATGTTCAGATAGCGTGATGTCAGGGACCTGAGCGCAGGATTATCAAACAAACCCTCCGTCACTCAACAAAAGAAGAAAGAGCCTAATGAAGTGTGGATGTGTCTAATCTAACCCACGATAATAAGTAGCAGGGACGGTTGCAGCACATCTTTCATTTGTCTCAATTACTTTGAGAATATTTGGTCAAAACAAACGACATTTTGATATATTTAACTCACCCTTACCAATGAACCCTTGGATACAGTTATTTGACAGGCTGTGTCCATGTGTAATATAGATTAAATAACAGTGTAAAATGGGTATAATATGGGTGATGATAGGGGTGTACTGATGTGTAATTACAGTGTAATATGGGTGATGTGTAATTACAGTGTAATATGGGTGTTACATAGGTGTAATACTGGTGTATTAACTGTATCATTACAGTGTAATATGATGTAATACGGTGTTGCATGTTTGCAATATGGATCTAATAACAGAGTAACATTGGTGTAATAACTGTAATATGGGTGCAATGTAGAAAACGGCAATCAATTAATGTTCCCAAATATTTAAATGTGATTGCCCATTTAAGGATTAAAGATAGTTACAGTACGTGTGGTCAACACTAGGGACGGTTGCAACATATTTGACTCATTAACTTCTTGTCTAAATGAGCTTTGTATTTGCACGTGTTTATGTTCAATAATATCAGAGTTATGTTTACATAGAAACACATGTAACTGTCACCTAAAGAGCTACACAAGTACTCAGATCTTGTACTTGAGTAAAAGTAGAAGTACCAGAGTGTAGGAATACTCTGTTACAGTAAAAGTCCTGCATTCAAAATGTTACTCAAGTAAAAGTAGAAAAGTATTATCATCCAAATATAGTTAGAGTAGCGACAGTAAAAGTAGAAAAGTATTCTCATCAAAATATAGTGAAAGTAGCGACAGTAAAAGTAGTCATTGTGCAGATTGGTCCATTTCAAAATATGATATGTTTTATAATGATTGATCATGAAAGTGTTCTCAAAGCTGGTAAAGGTGCAGCTAGTTTGAATGACTTTGTATACTGCAGGGTAGCTTGTGAATTTACTCCAGGTGGAACTAAAGTCTGATTTAAGAGTACACAATTGTACTTATATACAGTTCTTAAATTAATCTCAGTGACTTCCCATCTCTCCACATGAATCCATTGGCTAATACGACCTGCTGATTATGTGTCTGCTGGTTAAGTAGCTAACTTGAGCTAAAGCTACTGTCAAACGGAGCACAAAATGTATGAGAAATAATGTTTATTTACCCCTCGGCTGGTCTCCCCTGCCATTTATCCTGGGAATGTAAAATATCGCCAATTTCAGTGATGATTTAATGACCAAACGTGGACGTCCTTCCTGAGCGGAATGTCGCCGAACACTGGCGATAGTTCTAATCAATCTGCGGACAAAGAGTGGATGAGTGACAGAGAGAGAGAGAGATGGTGCACCCCCAACTAATTCTGCTTTCGCTTCAGTCTACTTCACAAGCCATAACATGTACTTTTTGTGGCCTCAAAGATAATAATGATAATAACAATAATAATGATAATAATAATAAAGTTAAACAAATGCATGTTTGAACAACATTTAGCAGATTATATACATATACAAACAAAAATTATATTAAATAGCACAAATGTATATTTCATGTAACACACTTAATGTAATTAATATCCTGCTTTACATTGTGTCCGAAGCCCTTCAATAGTATTTTATTGTCAGAGTTTATAGATGTGTTATCCTCACGGTTTACATTAACAACAAATCCTAAACGTATACATACCCCTGATTTCTTATGAATCAATTGCAGTAGAATTTTTTTTTTAGATCCTCTGAATTGTAGTAAAGTAGAAGTATAAAACAGCATTCCTCGAGTAAAGTCAAAGTGCCTCTACATTGATTACGTACTGTATTTAAATTAATTCACTCAGTTATCGTGAACGAATCCCTGTAAAAACCTTCTATGACGGACGACCGGAGTTTTCAGATATCTATCTTGTTGTTGCACTGCACTCTTTGTGACGTCATGAAACGTCACTGATCATACCAATGCCCTTGTCCTATAACGGCATACTTGATATGCATGTCTCCTCCTCCAACTTACATCTTAAAAGTTAATTATTTACACATTAAGGAAACAAATAAACCATTACATTAAAATGATGTGACCTTGTGTTACCTATAAACTAAATGCAATAGTAAGTAGGTACAATAAATGGTGCAATACAGACACACAGTAAGACTAACTACATCAATTTGTAAGATAGGAGCACAGATAGGAGGTTGTTTTGTAAACTGTTATAAAAGGAATGAATGCACTTACGCAAACAAGCTTGCTACGATGCTAAATAGCTATTAGTATGTATAAGTTACACCATCTTACATCATGTAGTCTCTCTAGCATGCTCTGTAGGCTCCAGGGTCCTCATGTCGACCCTAATGGAAAGTTGCAAAACAAGGCAAGTTTATTTATATAGCACCTTTCAACACAAGGCAATTCAAAGTGCTTTACAAAAAATGAAAGACATTAAGAAAATGGCATTTAAAATCAGCCATTAAAAAGAAAAGACAAAAAAACAAGTTAAGGGCTAAAAAAAAAAATGTCTTTTTAATTTCTGTTTTTAATAAATTACCATTCATTTCAACAAAAAAAGTGTGCGTAATACCTCGCATCATGTGCGTTTCTGTCAGAGTGAAGTAACTGTATTTAACCAGAGTGAAACCGGAGGTAGGGATTGGCCTTCAAAATAAAATATGTATATTTGCTCACAAAAAACACCAGGCTCTAACAAACCAACAGGTTTTAATAAACTATATGGCCAGAGGTGAGAAGTAACTAAGTACATTTAATCAAGCACTGTGCTTAAGTACAATGTTGAGGTACTTGTACTTTACTTGAGTATTTCCATGTTGTGCTACTGTGTATTTGTACTCCACTACATGTATTTAATCCCTTTAGTTACTTTACAGATGTGGATGAATGATGTGAAATATAATCAAGTGTTAAATCAGACTTTAGTTCCACCTGGAGTAAATCCAAAAGATACCCTGCAGTATACAAAGTCATTCAAACTAGCTGCACCTTTACCAGCTTTGAGAACACTTTCATGATCAANCAAGATCTGAGTACTTCTACTTTTACTCAAGTACAAGATCTGAGTACTTCTACTTTCACTCAAGTACAATATCTGAGTACTTCTACTTTTACTCCAGTACAAGGTCTGAGTATTTCTACTTTTACTCAAGCACAACATCTGGGTACTTCTACTTTTACTAAGTACAACATCTGAGTAATCCTCCAACACACACGAACGCACACATGACCGAGGGCACGAGATAAATTTGTGCACAGATTGAAGGCTGACAGGCAGGTATTAAAGAGTACCTGGCCTCCCTTTATATTAATAGAACAATAATGTCATTGTTAGCTAATGAATATTTCCATGCTGAACAACGGCAACATGACAACGTTTTCATTGGTCCCTCTTCTTTAGAGAAGACCAGGAAATGATGGATACACGGATCGTGTTCAAGGCACGCAATGACTCTAAAGAATAATGATCACGCCAATGACGCCACCAAACACACATTCAAACTAAAGGAACCAGCCTGTTTGGAAAATGTAAGAAGTAGAAAGTACAGGTATTTGTGTTCAAAATGTAAGAAGTAGAAAGTACACGTATTTGTGTTCAAAATGTAAGAAGTCAAAGTAAAAAGTCGTCAGAAAAATAAGTAGTGGAGTTAAGTACTGATACCAGAAAAATGTACGTAACGAAGTATTTGTACTACACTACTTCCCAACTCTGGAGGGATTACAGTACTTGGCGCTGTTTTTCTGCAGGTATTTTATTTTTGAAAAGTGTTTCCATGTGGCTGTCTTTATGCCACCGGAAGTAGCAGTGACCCGTGTCGCTGCAGTGTTGCGCTTTCCTGTTTACGGGCGGGAAGAGCGAACTGACTGGAAGCTAGTACTGTGTTTAAAATCGGCCGCACATTTTCTCTTAAATTCTCCTCTTCATGCTGGTGCTTTTGCAGGATTTAATGGTGCATTGCGAGGACTTCTTCTAGCGGACCTTTGCAGAGAAAAACGACAGGATTTGTTCCCTCTTTTTTGACCAGATGGAGGATCCTCCTGCAGATTCAGACCAGGGCCCCGTGGTGCAGGTGGCTGAGATCCGCTGGCCGCTTACAGCTCTCCCTCTTCGGCTACTGGAGTGGAAAGTGAAGCCTGGAACTCTGGTGAATGTGGACTCTGTGTTAGCCCTGTGTGCTCCTATAAGCCAGGATAAAGGCGCAGAAACAGCCAGGCTACCCGAGAAAAAGGTGAAAGCAGACCGAGCTGGAGTAGTGAAGGAGCTGTGCTGTCAGCTGGGACAAGTCATTCCTCCAGGGTGAGTGTGTGTGCTGGGGTTTTAGTGCAACAAATTACAAATAGAGAGAGTATTTACACCGAATATAATCATGTGAGAAACTGAGCACAGTCAAATGTAATTAAATATGACAAATACTATATTCAAAGTGGAGAGCTGTGCAGGTTTAATAGGTCAGAATCAGTTTTATTACCAAGTAGGTTTACACATACAAGGTTTGCTTTCATATGAATAATAATAGTATTATTTAGCATCCTTCAAAACATAGTTACAAAGTGCTTAAATACACAGAGAGTAAGTCGATTTAAAAAACAACATCTAAATATAAGAACACAAAGTAAAACACAAATATATGGAATAAGAATACTTGCAAAAATGGTGCGTTCAAAGACACAAATTAAAAATAAGGCAAGACGAGGAGTTTGCTTTGGTATAAATGATAACAATAATAATAAGCGTTATTTATTTGTATAGCACCTTTTTAAAAACATAGTTAGAAAGTGCTTAAATTCACAGAGAGCACGTGGATTAATAAACAGTATTTACACATGAGAACACAGAGTAAAACACACATAAAATAATACAAATACGTAGCAAATAATATAAAAAATAGTACTATTATAAAAGGTATTCAAACAAGACTATTGTAGAAATGTAAAGATAATATTTACACAAAATCGTATTGTGTGAGAAACTGAGTACTGTCAAATATAATAAAATACGACATATTCAAAGTGGAGAATGCAGGTTTGCAGGTTTAAAAATAGGTCACGTGGAGCAGCAATGCGCAACACGTGCAGGATTTACAATATTAAAATCAACCAGATATTTGTTTACATGATGTGTATTAATGACAATGGGATGGATAATAGTCATTTTCAGTGGGGCCTTGTCAATGAAGCCGGTAGCAGAAGCTAGCTGTTTGCTAACCTGCTCCATATGTTTGTAAAGACTACAGGAAACATGTCAGGTGTAGTTTAGTTAGCATTTTGCCTGCTAATCACTTCTCTCGTAGTGTAACGTAGGCTAGCTACATGCTAACACTGCTCATAAGTGCTCATAAGTAACAGTTAGCTTGTTTGCTAGCTGCACTCGAATCAACACAACAGCTCGTAGTTGTGTCAAGTCACTCAACGTAAACAAGCGCTTTTTGCCAATACATTCAAAATAAAAGCGTGTTCTTTTAGAAAGTTTGTTTTCTGACATTATCAGCCGTTAAAATCATAGTGGGAAATAATAAACAGAATTTTAGCAACCATTACACGAATTATCTATTCTCTGTTTAGCATATTTAGAATCACAGTAACAGACAACATATGTTCACGCTTTTACTTTGAAGGTGTACTAACCGCATTCGCTCGTAGTTGTGTCAAGTCAGTCAAAACAAACAAGTGCTTACGGCCAACACCTTCAAAATAAAAGTCTGTGCTTTATGGAAGTTGGTTTTCCGACATTATCTGCATTTAAAGTTATAGTGTAGATGAAAATAAATTGTATACTGAATTTGAGGAAACATTTCATGAATTATTATTTCTGTGCTTGGTATATTTGAAATCACAACAGATAAACAATGTTTACGCTTTTATATTGAAGGCGTGATCACGTAGTGTGTTACTTTGTTACGGTGATGCAGTGAAATGTGTAAAAGCTGTAGTTGGACATGTACTATTCCATTGTCCCACTGAAATAACGAATGCTTGTACGTCTATTATAACAGGAAGAACATTGTTGAGAAGATGTATACCCCACATTAATAAACATCCCCTAATATGTAAAGGTTCTACTGCACTTAGCATAGTAAAAAACTGACAAAAGGATGTCAACTTTACAAAAACTACCAAAGAACAGATGAAAAAGAGATGCATTTGTCTACAGCAGCTTAACGGGAATATTTGCTCGAATAAAGTAGCAAAACTATTAAACAGTCATTCAAAACCAAAGTAAACTGTGTGTCTTAATTACAAAAATGGCAAATGTACGACAAGGTTTTTATTTCTGTAAATACATATACATTTATTTGACTTGACTTACAACTCTCCCTATGTTAAACTCAGTCGTTCAAAGCAACCGTTAACAAATAGTTAAAGCTTCATAGTCAAATGCTTAAACATGTATCATCTCATAAACTTAATTTATACCAAGGTGTACATGCCACAAAGCAAATGTTTATTTAATGCGAATCCTGCTTAAAGAATGGAGCTATACACTATTACAGGTTTACTGAAAAGTCAGGATTTAACAAGTTTTCTCTTTTTTCCAGGGGTGTCATCATCAGAATAGAAGAATGCAGCCATCCCATAGTAATGAAGGGTCTATGTGCCGAATGTGGCCAGGACCTGACTCAGTAAGACATGCAAACACACTCACACTTTAATACAACTAAACAGAAACATCAATCAATGTTTATTTATATAGCCCAATATCACAAATATTACATTTGTCTCAGTGGACTTCACAGTTTGTACAGAATATCAGTATGACAATTAGGGCTGTAACGATACACTAATCTCACGATACGATATACGATATTGAGCTCACGATACGATATATATCACGATATTCAGCCAACGATACGATTCGATATAATTCGATACACTTACATCATTTTCTGAAAGATTTTAAAGGGACAGTGTGATTTTGGTGACATCTTGTGAGTGTTCCATTGACTTGGATTTAATTAATTCAACTGAAAACTGAAAGCATCAATTATACAATATATGGCTCTGACTAGACAGAGAGTCTACAGCTTGTAAATGCTGGACAAAATGACTCAAAGATGTGGTGAGAAAATTTGTTTCATTTATTGAAACAGTGCCAACTGTAGTTTACAAGCCTTTGAAACGTAAGTACATAAAGTGCAGTATCACAATGGACAATGGAGAATTAAAAGGTGCAGCAGGTGGCCTGTTCTGAACAGATTCTTTTACAGCATTTTTAGCTTAACACAGAATATGAGGTAGCCAATAATTCAAGTCACTAAGAACAACATTTAATGTAAAATGTACCTGCCAATAATTCAAGTCCAAAGGAGTAACATTTAAGCCAAAAACACTAAACAGAAAGGCTCCTCTCTACATAACTGCATCTACATTCTCTTCAGATTTTTGTTCAGGAATATAATCTGATCAACGTGGTCTGGGAGAAGTGCACTTCTCTGAGCAGTGACGATGGCCCATTCCCAAACCGCCCCCTACACCCTACCCCTCCGTTTGCGCGTTCACGCGGAGGGTCCGCCTACGAGTGTGGAGCGGTGTGGAGGGGGAGTGGGCTATCAAGCCCTCAAACAGCGAGTCTGCAGCGGTGCTGACTTGAGACCGGTCTCTACCTGACCGGAGTCGCGCTGTGTGTGTCCGCTGCTGTCAAGCTGTTAACAAGTAGTTCCAGCAAACATCCACTGATAAACTGCGATGTTAACAACCTCATGATAACCTCATA